TTAGACTGTTCTTTTGATAATGATAGCAATTATCCCTGTAGTTTATCCAGATTCCCGATGGTTAATATTCTGACTCGATCGCCGAATGACGAGGGCGACGCCATGTTTGTTTATAAACAGTGAAAGTAGTCCTACTTGACCTTTGATATTTGCATCTCTATCCGCATATGACTCCAACGGATATCGTTTTTATCCGTTGGCTTTATCCTGCCTACCCATTATATGATAAAGATTGTTATACGATCATGTGTATCATACTGATTTTACGAAACATGTTCCAGAATTCTTGTATTTCCCGAGCGGGAACGTCTCCGTGACGTAATATTTCACACAAAAGCCAATAATCTCGTCACACTGCATGTGAATATAGACATCCTGGGGTGTCAGGAAGACTGCTAACTGTAGCGTCGACAACACACACTCACCCAACCAACCAGGATCTCACTCACTCACTCTAGAGTGTATGTCCGAGGTCAGTTATATGTAACTTTGATGACAGATTTGTTTGACTTGTTTGACTTTCTACCTTGTCTTTACTTAGGTGATATCTAAACATTGCATAAAGTTTATTTGTTGTTTAACGCCGCACTCAGCTATATGACGGCGGTCTGTAAATAATCGAGTCTGGACCAGACAATCCAGTGATTGACATCATGGACATCGATCCACGCAATTGGGATCGATGACATTCCTCAACCAAGTCAGCGAGCCTTACCACCCAATCCCGTTAGTCGCCTCTTACGACAAGCATAGTCGCCTTTTATGGCAAGAATGGGTTGCTGAAGACCTATTCTACCCCCATTGCATAAATAAAATCTTCATTTCAATGAGTCCAATTTACTTGGGAAGGACACACGTAATAAAGAGAGGAGAGCACAAAATGTTCTCCAAACTACAAACACACAACTATAAGTCATTATTCAATATTTAAGCGAAATTATATATCAACCATAACATGGTTAAAGCCGGGGTTTAAGAGGCAAAACGTGAATATGGATGGGTGTGAATCAATCAAACTATAAAAACTATATCAAATACATACTCGTAATCATCCTTTGAAGCACTGAAGGTACAATTCTGCAGTGTGTGTTTTTATTCTAGTGATGATAGTTTGACATTTAAAATGATCTCAGTATGTTGTAAAAATACGGAAAAGGCCAAATGAAAATAAACAACCACCATGCTCCCAAACAGTGAATAAAGTTAACAGTAATTAAGAAATCACCTTTATCATGTTTATTGAAAAATAAATGTTCGTATAAATTGGTATCCAAATAGTGTCGCATCTTCACAAGACAAAATCACTGTAAGAGTCACGATACGTACAATTATAATGTCACATACCGAGATGAAAATATCTTCTACGTAGATTAAAGTATCAGCTACGTAGAAGAAAAAAAACAAATTTAGACTGTGTCACTAATACGCTTCCATAGTGAATGAAAATACTGCTTACCCCTGTGTATTTCCATATAAAAACAATAACATAAAAGAACAGAAATATGTATTGTGCGAGCCATTGGGAATACAATATGTATATATTAGGGTCGCACAATATAACTGTACATACATCTTTAATTACCTATATCCACGGAACAAAACGCTAAGCACCACACCCTTTTTTTATACATGTATATCCCGAACTGTCATGTATTTAAGAATAAACGACGTGTGGGAGTTGTTTATTTCTTATATGAGTTATCAATAATATGTACAGCCTCTTTAATGACGATGATGAAGCTTTAAAGATATTTACCCATATTTAAATAATGATGACTCCCTCAATAGAACCCGACCTCGGCAATGTCGGAAAAGTCCATTTTACGCACAGGTGGGTATTTCCCGCATAATCTCACAATCCTCATGTCGATCACCTGCACCTTTTCTCCCAATGACGATTGTCATATCTCTCCTCCTTTTGGATGCGATCGTTCGGCCATCGCGTTTCTCTGCGTTGCCCAGCAACAGTTATGGGGAACAACTCACAAGACCCCCACCCCCCCCCCCCCCTTAAAAAATAACGTCGTCCAATATACGACGTCATCAAGTGGCATGTTCGAAATTCCAGAATTGACGTCATGATAGAACACTGTTTTATCGTGAAACAAACCACACTTCGTTGTTCTTTGCAATTTATCGCGTAGCTATCTATATACCGAAAGTGGCGTTGTTTTCGTTCTAGGTGAATACTGCATATAATATTTACACAGTTGGCCAATAATTTATATTTATGTCAATTAAAGTTCAATTAAAATACATGGCCACTCCCCCGCTGGGCCTGGTCATCGTCCACTACAACGCTAGTAATTCTATCTTTATAAAAGGTAAGTCTAGAAAAGCAGGCTACTTGTTCTTATTATTTATTTAATTTAGAAATTATCATTTAAACTCATAATCATTGCCTTATGGACTTGTGCAAGTCTACATCAACGCCTGATGTCAGCGTTGTCTTCATCCATGGGATGCATGTACTTTGCAAACGTGGTATCACACAGGTCAGTCTCGGTTTGCTTGCATCGCGCATCGGTTTATTGAGGGCGTATCTTAAGTAAATCTCACTGACACCGGGCGACATTCAAGTATTTCCCACTAATTTCCTCATCTGAGTGATAAGATCAGCTTATAGAAGGTTAAAGGTCAATAGGGGTCAAGGTGAAATGTGATTACACAACTAGAAATGGCTTGCCTTTTAAGAAATCCCTGAATGAATTTCTGCAAGGCGCTGCTTTAGTATATGTGTAATTGGATTCCAGATAAAGATTAGGTCCCTAAATTTGTTTACGTCGAATATTCATTCATTTAAATTCCCTTCTTCACTCTTATCTTATCATGACATATCATTTTATGTAGTGAAAGAACATCTTCCCGACAGTGTCCGCTAGTATACCAAAGTGAAAACTAGACTTTGATATACTACTAGTGTGCTAGTGGACGCTCCTGCCTTGGGAAGATGTGAAAGAACAGGCCGTATTTGTAATTTTATCTTGGTATTCTAGAAGGTCTACCATGTTATCTTCACTCTAATTAAAATCAGATCACACAGAGAGGTATCTATAAGAGTAAAATGCCTGATTTTTATGAGATTGAGATTATCCAAAAATGCTAAGTCTGCACTTTCGGGAAATGTTATTGTTACCCCCCAAAAAATAAAAAATATGGTATGTTATTCCCGTATACATGGAAGACGAGTTGAAATAATGAATCTGTCATTATACATGTAGTTACATATATATCTTTTTTACAGTATATCTTTGCATCGGATATATTAAATCAGCGTGAATCATTTTATGATAACATTACACTTGAATTTGTATCTCCAACTAAAATACTTTTAAAAAGAGATCACAGACAAATGGTAACATGAAGTTATAGATTAGCTAAGGGAAATAATACTGTGGAAAAGGCGTTAGTTGTTAAAACGTCCGCTTGTAGTGCCGAATACCCGGTTCGATTCCCCACCTGCATGTGTTATCTTTCGGTTTAGATTTTGTAGAATATGAGTGGGCGCAAAACCATGCTTACTTGTTGCAATGTCTTTAGATGTAGCAAATATATATGAACAGGTGTTTTACTTTATATTCAGTTACACACAAGACCAATACAGCTGCCCTGTAAATAATTAAGTCTGTGATGGATACTATGAGCAATGATCCAAGTACAGTGACACCCCATAAACCAAGTCACCGAGCCTGACCACCTGATCCACCAGTAAGTCGCCTCTCGACTTTGGACCAGCTAAGGGACACAACTCTGTTCATCTTAGTCTGTTAGTTGGAACAATCTCATTACAATCAGATCTTAGTTCTCGCTACCGCTAAACAAAGATCTGAAGACATCCAATTACCATGATTACGGGTCATGTCAGACCGACCTTGCGCGAACTTTGACCGACCAATGGAATGACCAATCAGAAGGCAGCTTTCTCGTGGTTTACGGCACTCAAAGACGTATACGTCAGTGCGGCACTAATTTCAAATTGGCGACTACGCTTCGATACATATTTTGACATATTCTCGATTACAAATTTTAAACCTGAACAAAAGAACATTCTGGAATGACTAATAGATGGTCTAGATTGTATGGATTCTGTCGTTAAACCCGTAACTATGATGTCTATCGTTCGGAGTTAAGGTTTTCGAGGTTGCATGATTAGAAATCACATTCCGACTTTCATAATCTGGTTTAGCGATGCTCTGATTGGTCGGATGAAAGGTCGTTCTGACGTGACCCCTAATGGGATGTCCTCAGATCTTTGTTTAGCGGTAGCGAGAACTGAGGTCTGATTTTAATGATCGAGATTGTTAGCTGGAACCAATAAGATCCTGGCAGCTAAGAGACACAACTTTGTAATCTTCGACCACATTGAAGCACACTGAAGATCAGACTGGGTCACCATCATCCTAGAACTTCCCATTTTCCAAACACATATGAAAATAATTTTTTTCCCTAGTTTTATTCAATAAAGTTCACAAGTACAACAGACATAAATGCGTCTTCCAAAATATAATTTATAAGTCCCCATTTGCCACCCATTATAGTGTCAGTCATGACCCATTCACATCACATATGATATACAATACATTTTTTTCTGTATCCATACAAGAGGATACACTTGCTAAAATATATTACTGGCTTAATGACCCCCCAGCAAATTTGTCAGTCAAATATCCCAAAATGTGTTGTAATTAGCCTTCCACCTTTACTACTAAAAATAGTGGCGTGCCCAAGGGAAGCAACTCTGTACAGCAAATTGCAGCACTTTCGACCACTGGGCCCCTGCCAAATATCAAATCACAATGTATTTTTGGTCAGTATGGACTAAGTCTACAGTGAGCTCATAGTGGGTGGGTGAGTTGGGTTTAACGCCGCTTTTAACAGTATTCCAGTCATATCACGGCGTGTCGGCTTAATGTGGGAGAAAAGCCTGAAGTGATGCAGGTCTCAGACGTTTACCACTTGGGTGATACCCACGAGCACGGGTATGGTGCTGACAAACCTAGAAACATAATCGGGGCGAGTCGGGATTCGAACCCAGAATCATAGGTTTCTGGCGTGCCTAAGGGACGCAACTCTGCACAGCGAATCGCGGCGCCTTAGGCGACTGGGCCACCCGTGCCCCCGAGCTCATAGTGAATACAGGTGGGAGTATAAAACCAAATCTTGTTAAAGAATAAACCAGTAACAGTAACAAATACAAAGCCTATCATTTGTTCGTGAATTGCACACATTACAAACAGTAATAACCACTAATGATGAAAAACAATGAGAAAACATGATGAAGGCAAGACATTTTTTCTAAAATATTCATTAAAAAGATAGAAGTAGAAAGAACAGTTTGTCTAAGTGCCATCTATATTATCACAGGGACTTGACTGAAATCTGTGTATACCTTATAACTGCTTGCTGCCAGTGATCATCTCATGAGAATGAGAATGACTACTTAATTCGGCCTGGACAATACACCAACTGTGCGATCCAATATGTATCATGATACCTTGCTCACGATCCGATACATATCACAATATTTGTATGTGCTCGTACCTGTAGTGCGTAACCCATATTTTTCATAGACAGGATAGTCAAATACCTGAAACAGTGATGATTTACAGTTGGCAGTGTCTAGCATGGCGCAATGGATGAAAATATTTACTTTTTCACTACTAATTAGTGTTTGGTATAACAACTATTAAAGTAAACATTTAAGGTATGAAATGATATTCTTTACTTTTTGTGCAACTGTGATTGATACTTGTATCGGGAAGTAAAGTATCCCAATCCACCGATGGATCGGTGTATCGTCCCACCACTACTAATTAATAAATATTAAAATATTTTTAAATATCCCCCCCCCTCCCCATAATTAAATTAAACACTAAGATGTATTTATTACAAAAATGAAACCTTGTTTTGAAAAAAGCGATTCCAGGTAAGGTCTCCAGGAGCCTATGCTTGTCATTATTAAAAAGACATGATGGATCAGATCAATGGCCAGGTGATAACACAGTTTGGCAATATCAGGTATGACCAACAACAAAATCTAAACAAAGCCTTAATCCTGCTGGTGAAACAGATCTATTTGTCAATATCAGTTTGAGGGTTACGAAAATCAAGGGACATAACTCTTCCCCAGCCTAAAGAAGCAGTAAAGATTAATAGCACTTTCTCTGGGGTTGACAAGTGCTGTTGTAGTTGCATAGAAGATATGTAGCGTCTTTGGTCAAATAACATGTTTATCTCATAGACTGACGTAACAAAGTGGTGTAGACACAAGTGAAAATGTTAACTTTATCAGGTCACATGATGAGATAAACATGCTTTTGACATGACAAATGTTCTAATGTTTACATAATTTTTCCTGATCTTAAAGGTAGGGTCGAAGGTCGAAGTAGTTCCGACATAAAGTGTTATTTGACCTGAGTGAAATAACAGTTGTATACCTTGTACTTACATATATATATATATATAGAAAGACAAATATTCTATTTATCATGTATTTTCTAGGATAATTTCACAATATTATGCTGAAAACCAGTGCATGTGAGGTAGACTGACAGTAACTCTTGCGGTGTTATCTCACTCCTGTGACATTTATTGATTGTGTATTAGGGGATTAAGTACAGTATTTCATCACTAAACTCATCATAAAAAGAATTAATAGATTTTGCTTTTGGGAAGAGGGTTTATATATATAAGTATTCTATTTTCAATTGTCATTTTCGTAACAGTGTCATGTAATGCAGCCTCACCTATTGTGTACTATGACATGGTCTGCAGGTTTTACTTTGTTTTGCATTAACTGCCTTCTGTCAGGTGATGTGATATTACCCCAATACTCTGCAACACAGTCTGTAAATTCTGAGACACTGCTAAATATTGCAAAAGGGCCATAATGACGGGTTCAATCTGAAGTATTTTCATCCCAACTGTCAGATGACCAGTTTAGAGAGACGCTAATTATTGCCAACACCATGTCGTATGTGATTGCAACTGAGCTAGATTTGCTCATTTTCATTAAAAGAGAAAACATAATTATCCAAAATGAGCAAATGTGACGGTTTGGGAATATTACAACTACAACACAGATAAGCCACTTACTTTAAAATAACTTGGGGGGGGGGGGCGCGTCATGTGACCAGTTCATGTAAACAAGGTGATGCACATTTCATTTCTGCCTGAAAATATGGCTTCATAGATTTTAGGCTCTTCCCTAATAGTTTCACATAAATCGAAGAGAGAAATTCATAAAGACACAAAAATGGTTATACTGTTATCTTTAAATTAGGACCTTAAAAACAAACAAACAAATACCCCCACAATCAACAGACACATTCAAAATACAGCTGATGAAGAACACCCTGTATACTGAGGCCATGATATCCAGTGATCTAGGAAATCACTTCTCACCTCAAACAGTTCAAATAACCATGACAACCACATTGAATACTTAAAATATTCAGTATCACAGGAAGATGGAATGTAACAAATAAACTAAATGACGCAGGTGTCAAATCTGTACCACTCAAAAGAAGTTATGTACCACCTTCTTTCATATTTATATAGTGAATCTGTCATGGCACGTAATATGAAAGAATCAGGTTGTCCTTAACTTCTTCTGAGTAGCATATTTCATTAATCATGCTTGTGTGTTTGATTCCGGTTCACAAAGCATGTCTCTTGGAATGTTTGTGAAGCTTTGAGAGCTACTTGCAGTTCTTCTTGACTGAGGAGATTACTTAAACTCAGCGCCATGACCAATTCCTCCCGGGCATTCCCTGCAAAATGATTGGCTAGAAACGCCGGAAGTCCTCGTATACCGTCCCCCATTGTAAACAGAGGCGGTCTGATGATACCATATGTCTGAAACAGATGGAACTCATTGATCAAGTTAATGCTTCCTTGTTTTCATGATTTAATGTGTCAAGGTGATAGATTTGTCAGGGACACTATCACTAACAGTCAACATGGTCAATACTTCATCACCAATGATTATGTATGTCCAATATCGTAGTTGCTGTATTAACCGCCTTGCTCCTGAAAACTCCCCCTATTAAGACCACAAATTTACATGGTCGTAATGGTACACTTAAAGCCAGGTCAGATATTGTGACCACCAAGACTCATTGTAGTTGCCTCTTATAACAAGCACTGGGTAATGAGTACTTGCTTTGTGCCAGAATCCCACAGGGTAAGTATCTGTCATCACAGTACACCTACTGTATTCCATGTCTTCAAGGGACCAGTCATTGCACCAAAGTCTCCACATACCTCAATGCCATACTCTGGAGCCTGTAGATTCTTAATCTCCAGTGCCTTGAACTCTTCCATGGAGACCTCCTTTTTGTAGAAGTGTAACACTAGTGACTTGTCCTCATTGAGAAAAGAGACAACATGATCGTGGTCTGTGAATCTGTGACTCGTCAAGTCTAGGCTGATCTCCTCTTGCATTTCCCGGTTCAAGCCGCATACTGGGTGTTCTCCCTTCTCAACTAGACCTCCAGGGAAGCCTATCACACCATCAAATCTCATCTGCATCTGAAACGGAGGCTTGTATTCTTCAGAGTTCCACCATATTGGATGTGTGCTGGTCTGTATCAATACTATTAAACTTTTTCTAAGACGGATATTTCTAAAATCTAGATAATTTAATCTTACTTCTCATTTTGAAAAAGAAGGGGGTTTACTGTACTTTCTATCAAGCTGGGTGCACTCATCACCCACTGCTCAAAATTCTCATTTTACTATTGAGGCATATTGAGGAATTACTATCTTAACAGTTCTGAATAAAAGTATAATAAATTGTTAATTTTAATAATATTTTGAACCACATATGATGGATTCAGCTTTTATCTGTAAGCAAATATAATAATTTTGTTAGTTAGTGTGCTAATTTTAGTATTACCCACAAATTTTAGGTGAGGTGAAGTGAAATGGGGTTTAACGTCGCATCCAAGATTATTGCACTTCTATAGCGATGTGCATGTTTAAGCAAGGATTATATCCTACCTAAATATTATCCCGGGGGAAGTTTTACTCTAGAGTATAGTATAGGCTAGGATTAAACACACTGATAGGGGTCCAAATTCACTAGGGAGAATCATCTTGACACTAGAGAATATCTTCCCCGGGATAAAAAATAGGGTAGGATAATATTCACTCTTACACATGCACATGTGTGTTGTGTGTGCTTGTACTAGTCTGGACAAAGGCTGATTTTATAGATCTAGCCCAATGAGATACCATGCCATTTTAACATGAATACCCCACTCAGACAGTCTAAGGACTACGAGCCGACAAGTCCTTGTCTTACCCCATTAATGCTGAGCGCAAAGAAGTACCATCTTTTAATGTCTTTTGGCATGACACAGCTAGGGATCGAACTACGGACTTTCTACACTCTGGGCGGGTGCTCTACCAATGCAAATTGTAATGTGAAGCAACATTCCCCTGATATATATCATTCAGTACTATGTGGCACAACAAGGTTACAATGCAGTGATGTCATATAGCACTATGATGTCACACAACAATCTTCTAATGCACAATTAATAAATATTAATTCAAATTATGTTGGATGGCCTTATTCAAAGGGGATTGACATGTTCATAAGTGGCACATACTGAAGTAAAAATGTTGAATACTTCAGTTCACAGGATGAAATCAACATGTTATCTGACGGGAAAGAGCAAATGTCCTATTTATTTGTGCATTTTATCTTACTGATCTTCATTACCCTACCCTGAAAATTACTTAGTATTTGAAACAGACTGAAAGTAGTGAAATTTTATTTTTTCAGATAAATAAAGTATTTCAGAACCAGATTATCTAAAGATACGTAATAGGTACTATAATACGGTTCCCCAACTTGAGAGTTGGAGACCATATTATGAACAAATACAGGACTGAGATTAGTTGTTTTTTTATGAAGTTAAAATTTAGGTTATAATGTAACGATAACAATGCCATAAGGTGCGCCCGGTAGAACGTTTGAATCCAAATCTAAATCTTACAAGAACAGCTCCTCGTGCTTTATATAAATCCCAAAGTACTCTGTCATCTCTTGCAAATATCATTCCGTGAGATGCATGGGTAAATGACGGGTGTTTTGATTTAGCTTCGGAATATTCAATAGGTTGGAAATTATCTTTGCTATCACCAAGTCGTCCAAATTTCTCAAATCGTGCAAGCCAACCCCAATTATTTTCTTCCATTTTTAACTATGATCATGAAGAAGTGACCTCGCACATAACATGAAACGGGCCACGTTTACAGTTAGAGTTATGTCCCTTGTTTTAGGGACCCTTCTTAGGATATATTTTACGTTTATTATTCTATTCAATAAATGTCGGGTAACATATATGGCATTTTGACAAAATGTATGTATACACATTAAAATAAGTCCGTTTTAGAAAGCTTAACCTGATTGCCACAAGTTTTCTTTTAAAAATGCATTGAAAAGAAATAACATTTAAAATAATTGCTCAAACTTTATCCGGACCAGACCGAAGAAATTTGGGGAAATTGCGTTGAATCAAGTATGTCATTGCACATTCGACCGGTTATCGTTCCTTTACCTTAAAGAACCAGGTTACCATTAACACATGTCACAAGCATAGAGTCTATACTAAGTCTTATTTAACTCCGATTCCCCGAAGTAAGGAAATCTGGAAATTTTCTGAATAGAAATGGTTTATCCTCGTCGTCAGAAGCTCCGTGCACAAACTCCGACGTTTGACGTCAATCAGTGGAGAACCGGTAGGCTAGCAGCATTTCGAACGAGGAGAACCATGTCACGAAATTTAAAATAAGCACACTTTTGAATTGTCTCCCGCTTACTAATCAATATGCCGTACCGTTCTGGCGGATACGAATATAAGATTTATATAGAGTGTCCAGTATGTCACGAGGATTGTCAAAATGTAATTCTACAAAGTCTTTTTAAAGAAATGTACTATTTTCCCGCCCGTTAGTAATACATGTACCACCATTTATCACACTGCCTGATCGCATTGTATTGTGGACCCGACTATATTCATGTCAAGATCTGCCACCGCGGAAGCCACATTGGAAACGTCACGCTAGCCCATTAACATGAGTCTAAACATTGCAATTATACTACCATACAAGAATGTCGTAACCTGCCCACACACCTGCTTCTGTAATGGAACCATCCATTAATATTGTTAAGAGAGCAATACTGCAAACGAACTGTGACACATCTCTTTGACCGGCGAAAACGGCACTAAAATAGTGAAAGCGGCACCAGATTTTTTAAAGACATAAAGAAAGTAAAAAGTAAGGAAAGCTTATAATAATGTTTAATTCGCCATGTTCTTATACCACACAAACATAATATTCACAATGCTGGTCCAAATAAGCACGTTTCAAACAATTCTCTCAGTAGAACTGGGCCTCTATGTCAAAAATTATATATGCGGGTTAGCAAATGTAAATATTAAATGAATTGCTGCTCAAACGAAAGTTTATACAGGAAAATTGGATTCACGAAATATATTCAAACGTTATTAAAAACTTTAATTATGATATCAAATACATTTCCATAGAATAACCATTTCTTGTTTGTTTCATTTTAAGCCAACATCAAACATGGGTGTATACTTTCTTTAGCCCGGTAATTTATCTTCGGATCTAAAAACCACATCTGGGTTTCAATGACGGCGTGAGGCGAGTTGTTCAGAATACCGCATTCGACGTAATAAGCGCCCACCTCTAATAAGCGCCCACGGCGATATATGCTAATATTTTGGCTAGTGAACAATCCCAATTAGCACCCCTTCCGATTGGTCAATGTACGAAAGACTTATTTATTCGTGTATAATACGCACTCGTGTGTTATATGCACCCTTAATTATGGTCAATTAAATTCTGGAATATATACCTGTCGTATATGAACATTTCAGGCTGTCAGCATAAACCACGGAATTTATCTTTCAACCCTGATTGTTTTCTCCAAAATAATATTCTAATAAGAGCCCCCTATTTCTAATTTTGAGAGCACCATGTGCGCTTATTACGTCGAATACGGTATAGATCACGCCAAATGGTGTCGAGGATGCCTTAAACTCATTGGCCGAGGATATATTTCGCGAAGTCCAAAGAACAAACAGCAGATAGATACACAATAATTAAATTTTACAAGACAGGTTAGATCTCTGCTATAAATAGAAACTTATAATGGCTATTGATAAAAAGACCTTTCTGTAGTTTTTAATGAACCGGATTCTGTAAGTCACGGCTGGTTAGTCTAAAAAAAAACATTGTAAAAGATCAATTTATTAAAAAAATGGAATACCGATTTAACTACAGGCTCCAAAACTGGCAATTATAGAATTTACAAAACTAATTTCAAATTTGAACAATATCTTCTCTTATCACCAGAAATCTTTACTCCAATTTTAAAATTCAGATAAATAACAATTTGCCGATTGAGACTGGCCGCTGGGAGGGCTTTGCAGGCGAAATATCGCACATGTAAGCTTTGCACCTCCCAAGCCATAGCCGACGAGTTCCATTACCTCTTTAGATGTGAATATTTTGATCAGGAAAGAAAAACATTAATTGATAAATATCTAAATTTGTAAAAATAATACTCTCTGTACTAAAGTAAACCACTGTTGCCATTTGATCACATTGTATTTTTGTATATGTGTATGTTATTATGTTCCTCATGTACCACCGGCTGGTGGTTTGAGTTTATAAAGAAATTGAATTGAAAAAAAGATCTTCTACAATGTGACAAATTCAGAATTCATGGCTATCGGGCCCCTAGATTATGACTGTTTGCGCAATTGCGAGGTGAATGTGTAAGGCCATTAGTACCTTGGAGAAACCCTTGGACCCCTCAACACAAGACTCAAAGAACATCGGACCTCTGTTGACAAACTCGACCAGAAACCGGCTTTTTCCGAACACATCCCGAAGAACGAAAAACATAACATCACGTGGAAAGCCACCAAAGTCCTGTTTACCAACAACAACTGGTGACAAAGAAAACTACAAGAAGCCATTGACATCAAGAGACACCAGCAAGCCATGAACCGTGACCAGGGAACCTATCTTCCTAGTGCTTGGGACTTATTGCATTGATCTTTGTCGGGGCTAAGTACCTAGCTGGCTTCAATTTGCCCCTTGCTATGGCCACCTGATGAAGGAGTAAGCATATACTCAGAAACGTTGTGTTCCTCATAATAAAGAAGTTAACATCCATATATTCTCCTCCTTAAATTGTTATTTTTCTTTAGATTTTCCTTCGTATTAATTTATATTACACAATCACTGATACAGGGCCAGTAGTCGTATGTCTCTTTCAAAATGCTAAACATTTTAAAAAATAATAACCTTGAACCATTTTTCCGTTTCCAAATTCTGGGTTAGAATTCGGAACGTCCGGATTATAACCTGCTATCACATGATATCACTAAATTCAAAATGGCGTCGTCTAGGTGGTGTGTAATGTTGGTAACCATCATTTTTGTGCATTGTGTTATTTCTGTCCGTTGCACTTCTGAGACATGTTCTGGCGATGACAGCAGCAAATGCGACGGTGAAGAGAAAAAGGATTGTGGTTGTTCCAAGAGCAGACAGCACTCAGGATCTAAGTCATCAAGTTCAGAGGGCGTGCAAGCAGACGACGCAAAACAAAAATATCACCCCCAGAGCAACATTCAGAGTCCATACAAAAGAACAAATAAGATGGTTCCAATACCAGGAGGCAAGTTTACAATGGGCACAGACAAACCCGTATTTCAAGCAGATGGTGAAGGGCCTGCAAGGAAGGTCAAGGTTGATGCATTTTATCTTGATAAGTATGAAGTGAGCAATGCCGAGTTCGAGCTGTTCGTGAACCAAAGTGGATATAAAACTGAGGTAACTAGATTTACTTTGAGCTTTGCTTATTTAACGAATTGAAAACAAAGACAATCCTCTTGCAGTAGCTTTTGAATAATTTTTTGTCACTTCTCAAATACTGACATAAAATTCTCCCCATATACAGACAGTTGTCATTTAGATCTACTGATATTCTTATTTAGTGGAGAAAATAGCTATGTAAATGTGAAATTGTCGCTGATAGTTGTCCAACAATCAAGACAAAGGCCCTTAATTGTTGGACCCCCTTATAGCTCTTTGCTTGTCTACTGCTCTGCTTTTACAGTACATTAAGCCCACCAGTACAATATTATGATGCTTTCTTCATAATGTTTGTATATCATCGAGTGTCCAGTAAACAGAATGACACTTGTTTGTCTAACAGACATATTGATAGTGATTTGACATGTTATAAAGAGAGGTGACGTCATCAAAGCTACCGACTTAATAGTACTCTCAATGAACCCGTGAAGTTCCGGGGTAGAATAGGTCTTCAGCAACCTATTGCCATAAAAGGTGACTATGCTTGTCGGAAAAGGCGACTAACAGGATTGGGTGGTCAGGCTCACTGATTATGTTGGTGCATGTCATCATATCCCAACAACATGGATCGATGCTCATGATGTCAATCACTGGCTTGTCTGGTTCCAACTTGATTATTAACAGACCACCATCATATAGCTGCAATATTGTTGTGTGCAGTGTTAAACAACAAACAAAAACAAAACACCATGAATCTAGGGACCCTTCTGTTTTAACATTCAGGTTAACATTCAAAGGCCCCTTGACTTAGCTTTGAACACTGTATGATGTAGTTTGAATACCATGAATATATTAACAACATTCCAATAACTGCCTTTTTGTGTTGCAATCCTCTCCAGAAATGTTTGATTGGACAGGAAGTAAATTTTGATATTTGTTTGTGTTAGAATTTGATGAAAATGGAAATAGTAATTTTGTTAAGTTGGTAACATAAATAACACTCTGTTAAAGTAATTGGAGGATAACTCATGCATGACTAGACTTGTGTGACATAAGGAAAAGTTATTCAGCCAGCCAAGCAGCTCGAGTTATTGACCCAAGATAAAAAATAATGGGCCCTTGGCTATATGTTTCTGAAATAACTTATACAAAGTCAGTCAATTTCACAGGTAAAAGCTTACTTGACTCATAATGAATCTAAAGTTCTTAGCATGGGTAGTGACGTTATTTAAGTGTAGTCAAACATGAACAGATTTTCTTTTACATACTTGTCCTCAGCAAAAGAAGCACAATTCATTTGTTAGGTAACAATTAAACAAGGAATGAATAATATATATACATGTCTCCGATACTTGGACATATCCTATCCTTTATGTCTATTAACCATGCTTATTAATCTTATCTGAAAAAAATGTAAAACATGTGTGGTAGTGTACAGGTATTTAGCCTTGTGATTGTTTGGGACATCTGCCATTTGCTGTGTTATCTATTGCATAACCTTAGCATTCTTATCAAATTGGGCTGTCATTGTTACTATACAGTATTTTCTGATAAAATTACTCACATTCTTACTCTTACATTTAGCTTTTTCATTGTCATTTTCAGAAATATTTCCCGAGAAGATGCTTTGTTTGCATTGTGTATTTTGAGCCCACTTTTTAAAATTGTTTTCTTAGTGATATGTTTTTTGTACATCATCATGCACATGATGACTTTCCTATACACACATCAAAGAGGACATGCACATAGTGTGTTTGATACTTTGTACATGTATTAAGTAAATAACATATTTTGATCTTTTGGGGATACCGTATTCGACGTAATAAGTGCCCAGGGTGCTCTCAAAATTAGAAAAAGGGGGCTTTTATTAGAATAAAAATTTGGTTTAAAGGTTGTAAATTTCATGGTTTATGCTGACAGCCTGAAATGATACAAAAGAAAGTGTGTATTATACACGACAGATATATTTTTCCAGAATTTAATTGCCCATAATTAAGGGTGCATATAACACACGAGTGCGTATTATACACGAATAAATAAATCGTGTGTACATTGATCAATCGGAAGGGGTGCTATTTGGGATTGTTCACTAGCCAATATATTAGCAAATATCGCTTATTAGAGCTGGGCACTTACTACGTCGAATACGGTAGTTGTAAATAATGAAAAGGCAGCAATATGTAACAGTCTGTGATGTTAAATTAAAAAAACCCAAACTTTCCAGATGCAGTGTAAATGTTTGACATTGATGCTGATCACTGCGAAGATCTAACAGAGAGAAAGTAATGGAATATTTAATATACACTCTGCAACTTTAGCCACTAGTCTGAAGTCGGTTTAGTAAAGTGTCGTTTGGTCAAGTAAACTTTGCCAAAAATAATTCATGTATTAACACTAAAATCTGCCAGAAATGATGCCAATTGACAAGTTCACGCTAATAGACACAAAGATTTATGGCACAGGTGAGGTAAAATTGGGTTTAACATCACATCCAAGATTATTGCGTTTATATAGTGACACGCATGTACATGTGTGTTTGTGGCTGCTTGTACTAGTCCGGACTGATGCCGATTTATACTGCTATCTCACTGAGATACCACGCCGCAGTTTAACATGAATACCCCACTCAGACACAGTATACCTGTACTGACTCTGAGCCGACCAGTCCTTGTTTTTGTGTGTTTATGCCGAGCGCCAGACAGGGTAACAACAAGTACCATCTTTTAACGTCTTTTGGTATGACGCGGCCGGGGATCAAACCCCAGACTTTCCGCTCTCCAGGTGGATGCTCTACCACTAGACCATGGAGGCGGTTGTTTATGGCACAGACTGTGCATTTACATGTACATGTATTATTGGATTGTAGATTTATCTAGCATTGTACACAGATATCATGCAGCACCATAATATACCACCCTCATCAGTAATTTTAAGATACCAGTACTCTGTTAACTGTGAAGTGTATAATGAAAAGCTTAAACATTTTACATAGACATGATGATCTTATCTAATATAATTAAAATCTTAAAATAGACCTATCATGAGAAAATTGAAATGTGTAACATGCAACAGCTGGATAACACAGTAAAGAGTCCATGATCATGATAATGAAGCTTCATAGAGAACAGCCTCAGCACAAATAGGATATTGTGCATAATGACAACAATAACAATGATGATTTTAATGTAGACTACATATTGATATAAAAGCAATTTCGATTGTACATGTATCACTATCTGGGATATATACATCCACAGATCTCTTGATCTAACAACCATACAAAGCAATGTTGGGTTAAGTGGGAAAGGCTTCAGTTGATGCAGCAAGCTGTTGCTGTTTGATATCATCTAATATTGATCTGTATATGATTTTTGTATGGCATGTGGATATTGAGTATTTGATGCAGAATTTTAACGTTTGTCATTTCCTGGAATCAAATATTCAGTAACATGATATTGACAGTGGTGTTTCTATTAAGAATAATAACTATTGAGTATGTTGAGTGTATACTGTTTTAACATGTATTTTGCCAGTTAGAATGTTCATCAAAACTCATTTCTTTGTTGTTATTTCATTCTGTTTGTGTAGGAATTTAATGACATTAAAAAATAGAACAAAATGCTGTCTTTAATTACTACTATGAAATTTCATTTTGTTGTATTTATTATCACAGACCCTTCTCTTAATAGGGTTGATTTAACTCGTGCGTTTTTATCACAAATAAATGATGGATATCATTTTTGTTTACAGCTGCATGATTGACATTACCCTGATTCACAGGTTGTGTAGGCACAAAAGAGGAATATGAAGTATTGACATGCATGATAGACACCTAGATAATATATATATGTACATATACTAACTAAAATCAACTCAGTGCTATTCTGCTGAAAAATTTAAATTATTTTTTTGTATAGATATTACAACAGCTGTAGAGAAATATGAATATCTTATTAAGGTATATAGTCATTAAAGAATTTAAGCCTTGTACATCTGACTCTTGAGTAGACAGCAGCTGAGCTGAGTGTGAGAGTGATGATAATCTTTTGTTTACTTATTTAAAAAAATATATATATTATATATGTAACATGCATAATAAACTATGAGTAATACTTTAATCCGGGTGCATGCAGTCCTTTGTATTCACAAAACGTTAGGGGCATCATCAGTAAACTTGCTAAAGTGAAACAATAGAGGATTTGTTTTCTGAAGAACATTTTTTCTAAAGGACCAAACCAAGAAAATGCCCCTAACCCACTTGACTAGTTCGGTTCTATGACTGTGGAATGCCTGCACATTTTGATAACTCTAGTTCTCTTGGCAAGTCTATATAAATTAGTAGGCAAGTCTACATAAGTTGTAATCCCGATTGAATGAGCTAAAGGTGAAATGGCTTCACAGCTACAGATAAGCAGCGTATTTGCGCAAAATATTAAAAAACCAATAACTTTCAATTAACTTGCGTACAGAAACGCATGCATTAAATAAAAAACTCAAATGTATAAAAGAGCACGTAAATCCCAATGAAGCTTTTCAGCAGAGCTAATTTCCGAAACAGAATTACGAGCTAATTTACTTTCCTAGTCAAGTCTATATATTTAGAACAGTTATCTTGGTTATGTACATCTAAAACAATATTTAAGTTTTGTTAAAATCTTAAAATGTTCACTCTTTTGGGGAAATACCCAAGAGTGATGAATAGATGAGTGAAAAAATATTGGTTCCCCAATGAAAAATGTAATAACCCAATTAGAATAGAAACCCTAGACATGCTAGAGTAAAAACTCAACTGCTCAAAAAGTTATCTGGATCTCTGGGCTTTAAAGATATGAATTAAAAAAAAAGAGGAATATATATGACCGATGGTGTCTTCCACTTAATATTCCTTTTTGCAGTGAATTAATATTATTAACAGTCTATGAGTTGAGAATATTTACTATTGTAACATGTCATGAAATGTCTGCAATTTTAGGCCTTATATTTGCAAAAACAGGGAGTCCATACAACATGTACAAATCCCCTGTCAAAACTAACATCCAGCGATAGAAATTGGCACTAGTCCTTGCCAAACTGCCATATAGTTACGTATGATACGGACTAGTAGAAATTTGCCCTTTTTAAGGATTTTGCTATATGTTACCATTATTAGGACTAGTGGACTAAAACTGTTAGTTTCTGTCACTGACATCTGTGTAAGGATAGAACTGTAGACTTCTTACATGAGAGCGGTCTCATTTTTAGCTGACTTTACTGTTGGTGGTGTAACGGTACAGCGATACAACACTGTATCCCAGCACCAGATCCACGATACAGTACATCGATTTACAACCAAACAAGCCAAACTGCCCAACAGTTAAGGTATCATAAGGACTAGTAGAAATTTGCCATTTTTAAGGATTTTGCTATATGTTACCATTATAAGGACTATTGGACTAAAACCGTTAGTTTCTATCACTGACATCTGTGTAAGGATAGAACTGTAGACTTCTTACATGAGGGCGGTCTCATTTTTTGCTGACTTGATTGGGTGGTGCAACGGTACAGCGATACAGCACTAAATACCAACACCAGATCCACGATACAGTACATCGATTTACAACCCTTGTATCGCGATATATATGATACATTACATTACAAGTTATATTGGTGTAAAACATATGAATCATAACAGATTAGTTAGTTATTTAACAGTAATTCAGTGATGGGCTTCGGTGGTGTCCTCTCAACACCTTTATAATGGAAACGTTAAAGAGTTTGGAAGTTTAGTCATGTTATAAGCCTTGATTCAGGGTTGTGATTCACCTGGAAAAAGAAATTATATCAACTTCTGAAATAAAAGTACTGTGTCATGATACGAACCATATCGTACTCATAGTATCACGATACATAGTGTATTGTGACCCCATCGCATCGTCACACCTCTACTGACTGCAAGTCAAGTGACCTATGTTGTGGCTCGTTGTCTGTCATCTGTCCCTTCAGTTGAATGTTGCTAACTTTCACATTTTCAACATGTTACAATTAATTACAAGGCCTATTGAGCTAAAACTTTTTATTAAATGATCCTTACTATGGTATTTTAATTTTTGCCCATTTTTGTATGTATCATTATATAATTTGATATGGATTGATTATGTGCTCTGCAGAATAACTTGTAATATATCTTTTGGCATATTTTGATTTTTGATCAAGCTACATCCTTTGATCTTGTTTTAATACCAGTAGTGTTATTGTATCTTAACCATTTCCCCTGAAACTGCAAGGCATATGGAGCTGAAACTTTGTATGACTGATCCCAGCTGTTTCCAAACACTGACTGAATTCTGATCTGATTTTAAATAAGGTCACCATTTAGTAAAAAATTCAGGTGGACTTCAGTATTCTGTTTTATTCATTCCCCATTATGAGGGGTAGTCTTGTATCCATTACCTTTGACGCTATAGTACATAATACAAAACATGTCTGTTGTTTCAGGCCGAGGGTTTTGGTAATTCTTTTGTAATGGACAAATATCTGAGCGAGGAAGAACTACAAAAGATTACGCAAGCTGTAAGTATTAACTGTTTTGCAGGAGGACTTAATCAGATCTGTATCTTTCAGCAGATGAATTATCACAAGTGGAGGGGTTAGTCAGGTCTATATCATTTAACAGATAGATTATCTTAAGTGCTGGAATTTACTTTTTAAGAAAACATGATTTTTATGTGCTTTTGAAAAATATAACGTAATAGGAAATTTGTATCTTTAAGATTCTAAATGTATTGGCAATGTCAGTAAAGGTAGACGTCAGTTGAGTCCAATTACTTATTATATACCTTTGTGTGTTCTGTGATAAAACATCTGTCAAGGCTATTGTACATGTATTCTGATAAAATGATAACTATTGATAAAAGTAAACTGAGCCCTATTCCTGGCCACCTGTTCAGGTCGCTGCCGCTCCCTGGTGGCTGCCAGTAGATGGCGCTGACTGGAGACATCCTGAAGGACCAAAAACATCCATAAAAGAGCGGTAATGATTTTTTCTGTAGTACTTGCAAAATGATGTTAAAAATTGTTTAAGTGGTGGTACAAGTAAAATTGTGAAACAGGGTATGAGTCCGGAGGTTCTTTTCAGCAAATACCGTATTCGACGTAATAAGTACCGAGGGCACTCTCAACATTAGAAATAGGAGGCTCTTATTAGAATATAATTTTGGTGAGAGAAAAACACAAGGTTGAAAGTCTGTGCATATTATACACAACAGATATATTTTCCAGAATTAATTGCCCATAATTAAGGGTGCATATAACACACGAGTGCATATTATACACGAATAAATGCCTTGTGTACATTGATCAGTTGTAAGGGGTGCTAATTGGGATTGTTCACTAGCCAATATACTAACAAATATCGCTGTGGGCGCTCATTAGAGCAGGGCATTTATTATGTCGAATACGGTAGTCATTATTCTTATTGTAATAACTTAAAATAGAACATCTTCCTGAGGCAAGGGAGTTAACTAACTATAAAAGTCCAGTTCCATGATACTTTCATCCAACCGAACAAGGCTGGAATTGCATAGTCCAATCAAAATCTCATAGTTGCCACAGGTGGCGCTGCGATCAAAATTCCAGCCTCGTAAGTTAACTCCTGTGCCACGGGAAGATGAAAATAGGACCACAGAAATATTTTTTTTAATTGGGAACATACCATTGTTTGTCCAGATATTGCATTAAATGTTTAATTGAAAAGAGATTTTGCAACCAGGTAGATTTGGAGCTATGACAGTAGGTGGGTAGTCCATAGTGACACAGGTCTTGAGTGATTACTGTTACGAGCTGATGTCCAAATTGAAATGCAACGGTTAACCCAGAAATCAGTTTGTGCAGAACTAAATTGTGAAATCAGTAAATAACATCACAAGATCAATGATTATCAACAAATAGTATTCAAAAACACAGTTTTTGTCCACAATAAAGAAAGCACCACAATGAGTCAATTTGGCAGCAGCAATAAGTAACAGGATCTAGAATTAATGTAAATGTTCAGAATTTTGTCAATGTCAAATGTTAAGCTTGTCTCTGATCTTGAATCCAATATGGTGTTCAGAAGCTGGCAGGAATTTGGTGTTTACAAATAGGCATCCAATCGACTTTTACCAAGTAGGTAAGATGCCAGTCAGGTTGAAAAAGGCCTTGAACACAGCCAGCCTTCTAGAAACTATTCCATCCCAAAACTTCTTGAACAATCAATCTGCCATTAATGTTTACAAGGGAGATAACTCTAAATTCCACTTGTTGCTGCCAATAGAACTCAACATTTTACCAGCACTTAAATCATTTGCTGCTACTGACAGTTACTGCGAATAAATTTACCACAGCCTCTACTGCCACATAGCATGACAACATGAACATTGGTATGGCGCTGACAAACAATGTACTTAATATGACCTATCTGGGATTCGAACCCTTGACCATGATGCCGGGCGACAAGACACTGCATGGTCATGTGTAGGCCTTAAAACCTGCATTAAGTGTTCCCAATGTTTGCAAACCCATTGTCAGGTGGATAATAATGTTTCTATGTCATTTATACAACACATTCTATTCATAGGAATATGTTAGACAATATTCATTGATGCTTGTTTCTTTGCCCCAGGATGGACCACCCTGTGATGCATGTTTCTTGGAATGATGCTGTGGCCTACTGTACATGGGCTGGCAAGAGACTTCCCACTGAGGCAGAGTTTGAGTTTGCATGTAGGGGTGAACTGGAGAACAGGTCAGTTTCATACAGCAACACAAAGGATATCAGTTCCAACTTTGCTCTTAGCATTACTTTCAGTAGCATTTTAATATGGACTATTTTCAACTGAGCTTACTAGACCAAAAAAGATTTTGTCAACATGGGCTAATGGAATAAATTGTAAACTGTGTCACTGCTTGTCAATCACTAGGACAACACATTCACATGAAAGTTAGCCAGAAACAAGCTGAAAACTGTACTTCTTCGGGACTATGGGTATGGTGCTGACAAATCTAGAAACATAATTGGGGAGAACTGGGATTCGAACCCACGATCATAGGTTTCTGGCGTGTCTGAGGGACGCAACTCTGCACAGCAAATTGCGTCCCCTAAAATGACTGGACCACCCTTGCCCCTGCTACACTACATGAAATGATACAAGAAAAATGACCACTTGCCCTGCCAGCCATCATCAAAGGGAATGAATGGAAACTGAACCAAAACATAGTATGATAGATTTAATTAATAATTTAAGACGTGGCTTGAGACATCTTGTACAAACCTGTAGAAAAATAATGTCTTTGAATGGCACATGAGGAAGAGAATTTATGGATGTCAATCAGGTGATGAAGGAGTAAGTATATACTCCAAAGCATTGTGTTCCTCATAACAAAGAAGTTGACATCCATAAATTTCCTTCCTTAGGTAGAAAATCTATTTAAATTTTTTCATATAGAGAATCTCACCCGAGTGTCTTCTGATAACAAATTTATCAATGAGTATTGATATATTTGATATCAAAAGACACGAGGGTGGGATTTTATTTATCATCCAACATCATTTGTCCAACCTTTTCAGTTTGTAGACAGTAATAAGCAGTGTCTTAGTGTAAAAGGTACTGCTTACAGCTTCAGTAGCAGAGTAGTGATGTCATTTGATTGTAACATCATGGTGACCATGGTCTCTTTGGCATGGTCTGCAAAGCATTGTGATGCAATTTCATTGCAGTGATATTTACAATGTAGATATTGCTTGATCTCACTCAAGCGATATCTCCTGTTGGAGCCAGTTTGGGGTGATAAATCAACCTTATGTACATTTCGCATTTTGTAGCGGTACATGACCTCATGATACAGTATTTGTGTTGTGCCACTGAGTGTCACTATTCAACAAACTGTTCAGCGTATGTTACCCCTGATATACATGCTACATTGTATGCGGCCTCAGATTGTTCCCGTGGGGCAACAAGTTGATGCCAAAGAACGAACACTGGATGAACATCTGGCAAGGAGAGTTCCCCAAGGACAACAGCAAGGAAGATGGCTACTTTGGCACATGCCCTGTAAGTAGATCATATACTGTAAATCAAGAAATTAATGTGTCACCAATAGGGCCGTTATGATTCACTCGAGTATTCGGTGAATCAAACCGTATCCATTCATGAATTGAATTCGTTATTCGTGGCCACTAGAATCGAATATCTATGGATATGCAATCATGTGCATTTACTGGACCCAAAAATGTCCATAAGAACATATTATATGCATAGATTTCTTTGAAGACAATACTCTTATAATATTTAATTTGGTCACTAGTCATTGTCACATTTGAGCAGATACTAGTACCTGGATAAGTGAAGTATATTAATGTTTAATATATTAATATTTTACAAACCATGTCAAATAATATATTCTGTTATTGTTTCAATGAATATAACAAATAATACATTTGTGAATAAATATTCATATTCGTTACCCTATATTCGTGATACGAATCGTATTCGCCTTATAGTGTATTCATTGCAGCCTTGGTCGACCCATGGCCTAAAATGCATCATGAAATTTATGCAAAGAGTCCTTCCATTGAGCTTAAAAATCTAATCAGCAAACAATAACACGCATATCTTCAAATGAAATCAAAAGCAGGAAATTCCAAATGGGCATATTCAAATGAGATGGGTCAGGTTACAGACGAAGACTGTACAGGTTGCAAGTGTTGTGAGTTTGCGCATTCCTTTGAATATATATGAGCAGTGTTATGTATTCACTACGACATGCTCACTACGTGGGTAAGCAGCATTTTGCTTGTACTTATTGGATTATTTGACAAGGTTAGCATGAAGAAATACATTGTTGGCAACTATCGTAACTGCTTCATCAATTTGACCACACTTGACACTGAACTTGGTGAGAAACGCTAAATCTAGCGATCAGTTACATTGTTTATAGTGAGCTTTGTTTAATAAGTATGTCGAGATGAAAATGCATCTTTTATTATTGCATGCAAGAAACACTTTAATTTTTCACATTAATTTTTGGTTTGCAGTATATATATCTAGTAACATATTAGATCACTTTTATTGACTAAAATTTTCAAAAAATTGACCATGTGATGTTAGGACAAGCTATAAGAGATCAGTGATGAGTAATGAATGGTCATCTTGTTGATTAAGCTCACACAGGCAATTTGCAGTGAATCTATGTTCACAGTGTGGTACTTTTTGATATTGTTAAAAAAATAGAGAAATGTAAGACATGCTAGCTCCATTGCGAGATCACCACAATTCTTTGGAAAAGTCAAGTGCTCACTCACTGTTCTAACACAGGCTCATCTATTTACAAGCTGCCATGATACGGCTTGAATATTGCCGGTTTCACTAAAATCTGATCTTTTACTCCAATACGAACCTCTCTATGTGAAGATCTTATGACACCTCCATTGACCACCATGTCAGGCAAACTTTTATCAGTGCCAAGGCTTCAAAAGTCTTGGTATGAGTGAGTGACAAGCATGTCTGATTTCTGTATATCAAAAACAGATATAATCGGGAAGTTCCAAATGCAAAAACTTAAAGCAGTGCTGTTATATTGCTGTGGATATTTTATACACCTCCTGCCAGCAATGAGTTCCATGGCATCTACACCAGGAAAGGTTTTCTACAGCGGGTATGTAGGTGGTCTGTGGTAGTTTTCGTTTCCTCAATAAAAATTTCTGAATCAAGGTGGTAAAGAAATGAAGCCGATTTGTTTAATAAAGCTGACATCTGATTGGCTCATGAAAGTACACATCCTTCAGTCCATCCCAGATTGGGCGGTCAAATTTAGCTAAGAGTTCACCTGAGGTGTCCTCAGATGTTCAGTCAGAGAGTATCAGAGTAAAAGATCTGAGTTTCATGAGATTGGAATATTGGTGACTGAAGTGTTCAACAACATTCACCAACTCACATCATGGCACCTCCTCACAACACTTTCATGACTGTAAGTGTGTCACTTATCAGTTGAAATGAGATAATATTGTTAATTAGCTACGAGGGCAGACATATCGGGGTTCATAAAAATCATATGTGCCATAAGGTCATATCATGTCATGAGGCTACAGTGTATGGTTTCTGTAACCCGGACAGCATTGTTGATGTCAATCGAATCTTATTGTGACATGAGGTCCGAATGACGTCACTCTAGAAACAACATCATTGCTGAAGATTGATGATGTCATTTGACAAATTGTGGTTCCCGCTGCTGTTGCGACTTGCTGACATTATAGGTAAACACGAAAATTCTTCTTCGGTAAAAAAATAGAACATTATATTCGTGTTTATACCATACATTCCGCTCTCGCTCAAGAAATACCAGAATTTAGACACTCATGACATAGACTGACATGAACACTCATATAATATCCTCTATTTATTACCCATAGGGTTAAAAATAACAGAGTTCATTAAAAGAGATATGTTGACTTATCAAATATCACTTCACACACACCAGTGTATTGTATACGTCATCTGGATAGCATTGTTGACGTCATTAGAATCTTATTGTGACGTAAGGTCAGAATCACATCACACTAGAAACAATGTCATATCTGAAATTTGTTGATGTCATTCAACAATTGAGCCTTTCTAAGACAGCTGTCGTGATCAGTGCATTTTCTTAAGGGGGGCTAAGAAATATAAATGGGTAATAAAGAAATTTTTCCATTCGTATGTGTGTCATACTGATTTTACGAAATTTGTGTAAGAATTGATGTATTACCCTTGCTCATGCTCGGGGAAAAAAATACAAGAATTTGTTTCGTAAAATCAGTATAATCTCTACCTCCATGTCCCTGTATATGTATTGTATTGCAGGTGACAGCCTTCCCAGACCAAAACAAGTACGGCCTGAAGAACATCATAGGCAACGTGTGGGAGTGGACCAGTGACTGGTGGGAGACGACACATACAAAAGACTTCAAGGATAATCCTGTGAGTGAATGTCCTCATTTCGACTTTCTTATTTCAGTTAAAGGAGTGCTAGACTCAGGCTGTTTGACAGTTCCAGTAAGTTAAGCCCATCCCTCAAACACCACTTTGTTTGTCTGCTAGTTCAAATTTTATGAGGGGACATGGGTGGCCCAGTTGTCCAAGGTGCCACAATTTAAGAGTTAGAGCACTGGGGCATGCCAGAAACCTATGTCGTGGGTTTGAATTCTAGGTTTGTCAGCACCATACCCATGCCCGTAGGTTTCATCATATCAGATTTTCCTCCAACATTAAGATGTCACGCTGTGATATAACTGGAATACTGTTCAAAGTGACATTAAACCCAACCCAAACCTCACTCACTCACTCACATTTTATGTTTCATATCTATCTTGCAGTTAATGATTACCCTAATTACACAGATAATGTCTCAGTGTCTCACATGGCATTTGTTATTCAGCAACCCATGCTTGCCATAAAAGGTAACTATGCTTGTCGTAAGAGGCTACTGATGGGATCAGGTGGTCAGGCTCCCTGACTTGGTTGATATATGTCATCGATCCCAATTGCACGGATCGATGCTCATGATGTCAGTCACTGAATTGTCTGGTCCAGACTCGATTATTTACAGACCGCCGTCATATAGCTGGAATATTGCAGATTGTGGCATTAAACAACAAACAAACATGGCATTTGTTACAGTGTGTAACATCCAGGCACAAAATGGCTACCAGACAATAGAGCATAAGTTCCTTGTAATGTTATGTGTGTCTTGTCCAAAGTGCATGTGTCCACCATGTGTCCACCTGGTGGCAATGCACTAATAACTCTTCTCTGAAACTTCTAAGGTGTACCAATAGGTAAACCAATATCATATTCACACAGAAGGGCCCCCGCATGTCAATCACTCCAAAAGTTTCCCCTCAACAGCCATTTTTCATAATGCCTAAAATCATATATACAATGAACAAAGGTTTTTATTCTGAAAAGATTATGATAATGAGAAAACGTCATGGTTAACATAGATGTAAGATTTTCTCAGAGGTCAAATGTAAAAAGACCCAAATTTGAATAAAATATCATACAAACTACTCAAAAGAAGTTAAAGAACACTCAGTTCTTGCATATGACTACAATTAATCTGTAGGGTAACAATAGCAATATGAAACAAATGGGTATAATATGTTATTTTTTTGCACATGTGACTTAGTTGGCTTACCAATGATTTACATCATTCAGTGCAATAATGTCTAAGAATCTAACCAAAGTTCCTGAGTTTGGAAAACAACAAATATTTTTGTATTAACATGCCCACCATGGCAGTGTTAGAAATAGGTTCTTGTCCTATAGTCCTTGCCAAACTGCCCAACAGTTATCATAAGGACCAGTAGAAATTTGCTCTTTTTATGGATTTTGCTATATGTTACCATTATAAGGACTAGTGGACTAAACCTGTTAGTTTCTATCACTGACATCTGTGTAAGGATAGAACTGTAGACTTCTTACATGAGGGCGGTCTCATTTTTAGCTGACTTGACTGTTGGTGGTGTAACGGTACAGCGATACAGCACTGTATCCCAACACCAGATCCACGATACAATAGATCGATTTACAACCAAACAAGCAAAACTGCCCAACAGTTAAGTTATCATAAGGACTAGTAGACATTTGCCCTTTTTACGATTTTGCTAAATGTTACCATTAAAAGGACTAGTGGACTAAAAATGTTAGTTTCTACTGCTGCACAGGCACTTAGTTTCAATTATGAGATATCTCCCTTGGTTACAGGAGCCTCCGTAAATGGGGAATGTGAAGTCAACTGCATGTTGAATGAAGCCCTCATAAAATGTTTGGATATATTAATGTTACCAGTATGCAGTGCCACCTTGTTTTGGGGGGGGGGGGAGGCTGGTGGTTCAATCCCTTGGTTGTGTCATGCCAAAAGACATTAAAAGATGGTACTTGTTGTTACCCTGACTGGTGTTTGTCATTAAGGGGATAAAACATGGACTGTTCGGCTTAGATTCGGTATAATGAGTCTGCGTTGGGTATCCATGTTACCCATAGAGAAGTACGGTTTAAATACTGTAAATCGTGAAATTAAAGCGTCTCAAATCTAATACGACTGCTGACCTCTAGCCAAAAATGCTTATCAAAATCAATGCGACTCCCCCCATCCCATCCCCAGTGGAATGATACATATCCTTATGTTAATCAAAAAAAACAGCGAATAGCACCGCTTATTAGCACCGAGTAAAACACTTCTGTAATAACAATGAACAGTGTTTTCCAAAATAACAGCACACAGTTTTTGTTTATTCTGGTGACTGGCATTAAGGAAGTTCAAAGGCAATAAAATGATTGAACCAACAACAGTTCAGTGATTGGAGTGGTCAGTGAAGCCTAGTTTGACACGAGTGGGTAGATCTCTTGACCCCAGCAGTGATAGCTCACCAGATTCTTAAATTCGAATTCTGTATTCAGTACTATACAAGCCACAGGCCCTTTGTACAAATGTATGACATATCTATGGCAACAGTCACAATGATAAAATATGTATTCTTTCTTCTTTACTGTGATACAGATATTTAGCGATGTTAATAATGAGCTTTGTGTTAGTTGTAGAGAAAAGAATATTAAACTTATGGACATTTAGGTGTAGATAATATTTTGAAGGAATATAGAGATGGCGTAGGTGACTATATGCAGGGCACACTAGCAGGAAATGAAACTTGTCTTCTATTAGGTCAACTTGACATAATTTGCCAAATAAACCGTGTTTGTGTATATATTCAAGTTGGTATTTCCACTAACGAAAGTGTGCAGTGAGGCCATCTTATTGTTGATAGTCATTTTGGAGACATAAATACGAAGTTTCATTAATGAGAACAAAGACCACTTGCTTTTTACACAGTTAATTCACGCTCGCGTTAATTTCAAGATTAACACTACTCACATGATGAAAACTTTGCCTCAGAATGGGGCTTAACAGACAGTCTTGCAGCTTGGCAGTTACGTGCACCTTGAGTTGTTAAACAAGTGGACACTATTCTCTCACAATATACAATATTATAAGGGTAACACTATTTTTCAGGGCATTATCATTTGCAGAAGCCCGAGGTCTTCCATTAACCTCCTGACGAAGGTGGGTAGTTAAAAAGACCGAGGGCTTCTGCAAATGATAATACCTTGAAAAATAGCGTTACTGTTATTATAGCTAAAATGGATGGAATTTCTTCTCAAATATAAAGAAACAACAATATCGGTTTAAAACATTTATTGCAATCAACGCAAATGTCATTGACCCACTTTTACAAATATGGAAACATCATAGAACAAACCAGATGATGTCACTATTGAACGTGACGTCACCTATCCTTATCCTATGACGTCACCTAACAACGGGCTTGATAATGGCCTGTTGTCAAGCAATATGAGGGCATTATCAAGTGGCCCGCTGATTTCTGATAACATGCGGGCAGTTTAATGTTAATTCTATCAATTTTAGCTATATTGTCTGTTACAGAAAGGACCCAGCAAAGGAGATGACAAAGTGAAGAAAGGGGGTTCATTCCAGTGTCATGAGGTGAGTCCAGCTGACTTGAAAAAAAGGTCAGGGCTGGATTCTAAGATTTATGTAAAAAAAAAACCTACTGTTCCAGCAGGGCTTTGGGGCTTTACCATCTGATATTTTGGTTTGGATATTATTTCATAAATAATCTGTTCCCCAAAATACTTGGAAAAAATTGTCCCCTCAAGATTTACACCACAAAAAATCATTCACTGGACAAAACAATGTACTGTGAGTCCCCAACAATAACAATTGTATGTTTTTGAGCCCATGCTAAACAATTATTCTGTCTCAAACAAAAAATCCAGCCATCCCCTCTCATTTTAAATGGTCAGTCCCCTAAAGTGTTGAACAGAATTTATTCGTGAAAAAAACTTGTGAGCCAACAGGGCCATGTGAATTTACAGATGATGTTTGTATATTTGTTTTGATATACTTGAACGATATTAATTATCATATATAAACTACAACATTCATGATGTTCATGTATTGTGACTCTAAGTGTGAGTATAGGCCGTTGATGTGGAAGTCCTCGGCCACAAGCACCGGTTTGTACCTTCACTACCAGCATGAAGTAACAGCAAGCAGTTTGTGTTGGACAATTACATATGCTTGAGAATATTCTTTTTTGAAAATCAGTTAATCAACTAATAAATTGTGATGACCTTTTGATGAAACCCTTTGGATTGTAACAGATTCCTCTGGTAATATCCTTATGTTTTCCTTGTATTTATTTTCAGTCCTACTGTTACCGGTACCGATGTGTAGCCCGAAGTCAGAATACACCTGATAGCTCCGCAGCAAATCTGGGATTCCGATGTGCAGCCAGCAAACTGCCTAGTTATTTGAAAGACGCAAATTAATTCATATTTAGGAAATTGACTTGAGAATTTATAATTTGAAACTTTCAATTTTCTTCATAATTACTTTTCTCTGTAAATTTTACTTTCATACAAAATGCAAATTCTATATCTACCTGGTAAGTAATTACATGTAGGTTACTGGTATCAGGGATCACAGGTGAACCATTATTCATGAGTATTTCATATTAAAGAGGGGGGATATCGCTAAAATGTCTTCATGACAATAATTTACCAGTACTTTATTTATTTTGCATTTTTATCTTTTCACAAATCCATAATGTTTAGGATGACAATAAGCATGTTCTGTGAACAATCCAGAAATCCAAACTGGAAATCCAACCAGTGTTATCACATGTATACACCTTGGATATATACTACTCAAAACAAGTTAGAGAAGTCTGTGTGTTGCAATACCCATCAGCCATGACAGATTAACTATACCTGGTAGTCATATAGGTGTTCCTTAACTTCTTTTCAGTAGTATCAGGTGACTTCTTAATCCTGTAAGACAATATTAGTTTTACCCTTAATTTCTAAGTTATCATCATATAATATAAGTGAAAAATGAAACAAATAGGTGATATATTGGGTCAACATCAACGCCCATCATCAGATTAATGGTTTTGTATTAGACTTTCACGTATTTCCAAACAACATTCAAATTTAATAATATTTGGTTTTAACTGTATTGGTATTTTTCTAGTACTGTCTATTAAAAGCAAACACCCATACCTTATTTTTAAAATAGTCATTTTATGAATTACTTCTGAAATAATTTGATGACTTAATTCCATTGTCATTATGAAATGAACATGATTGGGAGAAGCTATTTGTACTTCAGTAGACAGGTTTGAGATTTGTTGGATATAATTAGCTATAAAGTATTAATTAAGCCCTGAGTGTATACTAACAGAACTGGCAGCTGAGAGCTACACACCATGTATTTCATCTTCCACCATCTGTTGTCCATGTTGTCTGCATATAGTTTTATGCTAAAAACATAATAGTCTTGGTTCTCAGGCACCACCCGCATCATCATAAAGTCCACTGCACATTTTGTTTTTATTTCCATTTTAATTAAAAAAAATTAAATCTTCAAATATTCTGTGTCTCGAACACACAACTCTGACAGTGAAATGCTTCAATACTTAAGAACATGATTTCACCAAAATTATTGTAAACAAAATTTGGTTATATACTAGCTTGAACTACAACCTGCCTGCACTATATTTTCAAAAGCTTTGCCTGAGAACCAATTCTTTTATTTATTTAAGCCATAGGTATGTTTTTATTGTATGCATTTTCTAAAGCGGAATTTTTCCAAGATATTACACTGACATATATATATATATATATTTATGAATATATTTTTTCAATAATTTGATACTAATCAGTCTTATGATTTTATTCTTTATATACTGTATAAAATGTTAATGTGAAAACATAACCGTGCCTTAAGGCCGCCAATAATTAATTACTAGATTTTCATCCATATTTATAAAAATGTGTTGAAAGGGGCAGTTTATTTTCATGATTTAACTTCACTACAAACTAATTGGAAAATGTAAATTAACTGCCTGTGGATGTGATTCAAATCAAGCATATGTTTAGGGTACGTTGAATTTGGTGTATTGTACGATGGGAAAAAAGACGGTAACATACATTTCATTTTCTGAAGGTACTTTGGGAAAATAAAATGATGTGAGGCAGGGTGTTTTGTAGTAAGGTGGTAGGGATGAAAATCTAATAATTATTTTTTATGGTCTAAGACTTTTATTCTAGGGAGGAGGGTGATAGAGAGAATTGGGGTAGGATGGGACTTTCATTGGGGAGCAGTCTTGCTTGTGTCCAGTCTCATGAACTACCTACGGATGTGATTCACATGAATGTTTGGTGTGTTTTACAATCTCATTAAAATCAGACCTTAGTTCTCGCTACCGCTAAACAAAGATCTGAAGACATCCCATTAGGGGTCACGTCAGAACGACCTTTCATCCGACCAATGTGATCGTTGCTTACCAGATCGGAATGTGATTTCTGATCATACAACCTCGAAAACTTTAACATGGGGTTTTCCGAATAATAGTTACTGGTTTAACGACTGAATCCATACAATGTAGACCATCTATTAGCCATTCCAGAATGTTCTTTTGTTTAGGTTTCAAATTTGTAATCGAGAATTTGTCAAAATATGTTTCAAAGTGTAGTGGCCAATTTGAAATTAGTGCCGTAAAGCACGAGAAAGCTGCCTTCTGATTGGTCATTCTATTGGTCAGTCAAAGTTCGCGCAAGGTCGGTCTGGCGTGACCTGTAATGGGATGTCCTCAGATCTTTGTTCAGAGGAAGTAGAACTAAGGTCTGATTTTAATGCGATTGGTGTGTTTTTATCAAGGGAAAAAAGGGAGGCAACGCACATACTGATTTTCTGCATGTAAATAAAATGATGTGAGGCAGTGTGTTTTGTAGTAAGGTGGTAGCGATAAAAATCTAGGGAGGAGGGTGATAGAGAGAATCAGGGTAGGGTGGGACTTTCATTGGGGAGCAGTCTTGCTTGTGTCCAGTCCAGTCCACCTCTATCACATACAGTTAATGACTCGCCATCATCAACTTGTTTGTATTATTTTAGAAGGTGCATAATAGTATGACAATTGTCTTCACCTCCTCACAGTGTATTCATAGTTCCCATGATAGAAGTGTATGAGCACATCATTCTGGTAATGGAATTACATGTTCCAGCAAGATAACAGCAACATCTTGTCTTGTGAATAACCTTCAGATTAGAGTACCGTATTCGACATAATAAGCACCCAGGGTGCTCTCAAAATTAGAAATAGGGGGCTCATATTAGAATATAATTTTGGTGAGCAAAAAAAACAGAGTTGAAAGATTGTAAATTTTGTCGTTTATTCTGACAGCCTGAAATGATACAAAAGAAAAGTTGGTGCATATTGGACATGACATATATTTTCCAGAATTTAATTGCCCACAATTAAGGGTGCATATAACACATGAGTGCATATCATACACAAATAAGTAAGTCTTGTGTACATTGATCAATCGGAAGGGATGATAGTTGGGATTGTTCACTAGCCAGTATATCAGCAAATATCGCCGTGGGTGCTTATTAGAGTAGGGCGCTTATTACGACGAATACGGTAACTGACACAGAGAAATATTCATATTTCCAGTTTCATGTGAATGTTTTGCATTCAAATATGTTTTTTCTATTAAAGTGCAGAACAGAAAATACAAAAGTAATCAATAGCTTCTAAATTGAAGCTGATTTTGTTTGCTTTGGCAATATTTGTTATTGACTTTTCCATTGACCATGTTGATACATATCGATTCTGACTGACATCTTGTACTCAAAGAAATATCAGATGAAATGTAACATAGGTACTTGTATTGCTATGTAATTTTGATAATATCGTGAACAGCGACATCTTTAAGATCTCAGAAACAATGTACAACCTTTTAGCTACATCATAGACAATGGCTGTGCAATAAAAGGTGGTATATAGTCTTCCATTGTTCATCTATATTCTCAACCTTACAATGAAATCAAAGTTTTATATATAAATATATCTTAGCTGTCAATGTATACATATTACATATTTATTATATGCATTTATTCAATCACATGATGTGATTACTTTTCGTACATTAAACAAAAAATTAACTTCTTGAATTTTAGTGAGCAACCTGTTTGATAATGATTGCTCTAAAGTTTAACATAATTTTGTTATCTGTAATTAATATTTTCTCATATTAACATATGCCATGAATTGTTTTCATACTTTTAAGGGCAGGTATCATACTTGTACGATGTATTTTTTTTACTGTGCTTAGTAATTGAAAATTCTTTTTTTCTCCAAAATACCCTAGAGAGGGGTACACATTATGCTTGGGTGTTCATGATACATACTATATAATAAAAATAATACTGTACTTGTTTTACGAGCAGACCAATGTTGGAATCAGGACACAAGTGTTAAGAATGATACTTGGATGGTAGCCCCATGGGGATTACGGGTTTAGAATAGGTCCTACCAACATATACATGTCAGGAGAGTCCGCTATAAATCAGGTGGACTAGGTAGTTGACTTGGTCGAATGTGATTGTACCATGACAGTGTGAGACATTGCTCATAATATCAACCACTGGTTTGTCTGTTGTCTGGTCCAGACTCAATTATTTACTGGTCGCCATCACATAACTTTACGGCATTATAAAGTCTGTGTTACCAACTAAGACTACTTCATCATGTCAACCATCCTCCCAGTCTCTGCGTCACATATCCTCATATTTCAAACTTCCTTGATCATCTGAAAGCTGAAGGAAATATCTTTTTGTGATCTCAAAACTCCTATGCTGCATTCCATGTGTCCTTTATGGTCATTGACTGCTGTAATGAAATGGACTGATCACTATTCTGTTGGGAATTGGGATGCTTGAGCATATTACATCATTGCATGTGGGTATCTTTTAACACAGACATTTGCTATTTCATATGTCCTCTTTCAATTTCTGTTTGTGCCATTGTGGCCATTTACCATTCAGCGAATAGTGTACTGATCACTATTCTAAGCCACCCATACATAAACATATCCCAAAAAGTTCACTCTTCACTCCTTGGCTAGGTTTTACAGCCGGAGCCAGAACTAAGGTGATCATAACTCCCATACTTTAAGATTGGCTTATGACATTGGTTCAACATATTTGTCAATGAAATTAAATGTTGAAGTGTTTGTCTTGATTCACTCGTGGAGTGATCATGGAAGCCATAAAAGTGAAATAAAGACTATGTTGGTACACTGTTTTGTTTTCAATTGAGAGCTGTTTTGTGTAGGTGAGTGAGTGAGTGAGTGAGTCTGTGCTGCTTTTAGCAATATATCAGCAATGTGAGGTGAGGTGAGGTGAAATGGGGTTTAACGTCACGTCCAAGATTATTGCACTTATATAGCGACGTGCATGTACGTGTGTGTGTTTGTGTGGCTGCTTGTACTAGTCCGGACTGATGCCGATTTATAGTGCTAGCTCACTGAGATACCATGCCGCAGTTTAACATGAATACCCCACTCAGACACAGTATACTGACTCCGAGCCGACCAGTCCTTGTTTTAGCCCCTTAATGCCGAGCGCCAGACGGGGTAACAAGAAGTACCATCTTTTAACGTCTTTTGGTATGACGCGGTTGGGGATCGAACCCCGGACCTTCCACTCTCCGGGCGGACGGTCTACCACTAGACCATGGAGGCGGTTATATCAGCAATGTCATGGCAGAGGACAGCATGAGTGGAGCCCGCCTTTGTAGTGTCTTAGTTGCCCATCCTCGATGATCCAGTGAACTAGATCTCCATCTTATAAAGATAAACACCCTGCACCCATTTGGCAGGGTTATTCCTGTACTGTAACAGGCTTACAATAGTTGCAGCACTCTTATTGCTTTGAGGAACACCACCCAGGGTATTTGTCACAACAGAATGAAGATATGATACAATGGATAATCTAGTTGCCATGTTTCATGGCTTATGAGCAGGTGAACGTTTCCATGGTTATGAGGACAGCTTCATTTTGGAAGTGACCTCAAAATCACCTTTTTTCTTTTATTTTGCATGTCGAGCACAGAATCTCTTATGACTTAGCGCTGAATTTCTCATGAAATCAACAACCAATCAAAACCCCTCTGAGGGGCATATCTTATTTCATTATGGCATCCTCACCCTTGATATATTTAAAGTACAAGAATTTAGGACCAGTCAGAAGACTAAAAGTTAACTTGTTTCGAGAAAAAAGGTTTTCCTATATATTAAGACACAGAGAGGGAACTCCTTATGCTACCCACTGGCATATATATGGGACGGTATATTAGATGGGTTGAGGAAGAGTACGGAAGCCTTTTAGGGCCATTTGTTTTTTTCTTTTTTTCGATACTATCTTGAAATTTCAAGATACTAAGTTGAAATTTCAAGATACTATCTTGAAATTTCAAGATATTATGTTGAAATTTCAAGATACTAAGTTGAAATTTCAAGATACTATGTTGAAATTTCAAGATACTAAGTTGAAATTTCAAGATACTAAGTTGAAATTTCAAGATAATAAGTTTTTAACATCCTAAGATGTAAAAATACGTTTGAAGTGAATAATCTTGAAATTTCAACTTAGTATCTTGAAATTTCAACTTAGTATCTTGAAATTTCAAATTCTCTATCTTGAAATATCAATTTAGTATCTTGAAATTTCAAGATAGTATCTTGAAATTTCAACTTAGTATCTTGAAATTTCAAGATAGTATCGAAAAAATTATATAAAAAAATGGCTCTAAAAGGCTTCCGTAGAAGAGTGATATCATTGCTTGTTTTAATCATGAAACCAAATAATTCATTTAGACAGTATTTGTAGTGTTGAATCATTGAAATTGGATGCAAAACAAAGCTATATTGGCATATGGGTCCGGGGCCTCCACAGAATGATCTTGTCACAAAGGTATTGGTAATTTGCAGATAAAAGAATACAACCGTTTTTATGCCCAGACTGTTTCAGAGCAGCAAAAATGTTCTTCAGACACACCAAGGATCATAATTCTGGCAAATCATGGATTCAAACCCACAACCAGCATATCCTGGCTTGGCTAAGGGAAACAACTGGGCTGCCCATGCCTCCTTCATATACAGATTCAGAGGGTTGGTGCAGGGGTACGCACCACCACCTTCCGGAGCATACTAATCATGTTGATGTATACAAAAACAAATTGCTAAATCATTGGGTGACATGTTTTCAACAAAAGTAACAACTAATTGACTAAATTTGTTTCCCAAATGGTGTGCTAGCATTTTGGTATTTTGAGAGTACCCTCACTTTTCCAAAAGGCTGTGTCCGCTTGCTTCATTTATAACATTATACACAAAAGCTCTATGGTCTTAATACACTTTATTCCTGCAACATCACTCAAGTATATGTGGATGAAAGGGCAAATAACCCCAACAGTTTTGGGAATGACACAGACACGGTTTCCTTGTCGCTTCATCAGAGTTTGTAGATTTCCTGTCTTCTGATTGGCCGCTGTAGTCATAACAAAGTTCCTGATTGGCTGGAATATCACATCTAGAAAACAGGGCTAATTTTGGCACATTATTGTCCACTCTCACTGGAACCATGATTAGATTTGGATCACATGAATGGTTGATATATCGTCCAATATTTCCAATATATTTCGGGTCGATACAAGTGTTCACAGTTCCTGAAGAATAATGTTCTTTCAGTACAAACAAATAATTCATATCTTCATGGGTTAGACGATCAATTCTTTTTTGTGCCTCTTTCTCAGATAACACTTCACCAGCATATTCACAAACAAAAGAACAACTTGGAATGTTTTCTAATGTCCTCAAACCGTGACCCTTAGCTTCTGATGTAAAGACTTCCATTTTTATACCAACTCCAAACTGTACAAGTCTGTTAACACATGTCTTATCACAAGAGCATTTAGTGTTACATTCAAATACAGGTTTCACAGAGGAAGCTGTGAGGAGTTCGGGTAAGATTTTGTGGTTAGTCGAGTAGTTTGGTCCAAATCTTGCAATACACTGACAGACCTCTGTGCAAATTGTCCGACAGTCACATCCAGAGATTTGGGTCTCAAAGTCATCCAGAGGAGTTTCTTTGTGGGGAATGTTTGATCTTACATACTGCAAATAAAATAGACAAACATCACATACAAGCTGAGAGTAAACTTGGCTCCATCTGAAGCACCAGTAAAATCTCCAACACAAGGCGAAGCTATTAGTTTACCTCCATCTCTATACAGCATGATACAGTAAACGCATTTTAAACATAATTACAAATTAAACACCACAAAATCACTTAATGTCCCCAATGACATTTTCAATATTGTCCCAACAGTTCCTTGATGAGCAATTTTTGATTAGATTATTGTCAGATCTTTTGTTATTTAATATCTTCTTATTTATTTATTTTCTTATCTACGTGAAAAGAATTCCCTGACAATTAATAATTCATTATCGTATCTTATCTTATTATCTGTTACATGAAGGTTACTGAGTGAGATACTTTTATTGTGATATGTTTCTATCCAATGCTAATAATCAGCAAAATGTACCATCAATCAAGCTTCCATTAACAGAACTACAGATAGTTTTTTATTCTTCAAAAATTAATAAAGTCAGTTGAACAATGTTGACCATGGATTCCATGAAAAGACAAAAAACAGAACTTGTGGTTGTTTTCAAGTATGTATCCCCGTGTTATAGGTTTTCAGACGCTGAAGAAACATTCATAGTTTTCTCTCCAATCACAGGAACAACTGTGAAACATCTCTTTCACTTTTAAAAGACAACTTTCTCTTAAAAAGCCATCATCTGAGTATTTACAATGTCTGTGAGATGCTACACCCCCTGTTATTGCGCGAGTAATCGCGATAAACATGGCCGTCGGAAAACATATGATCTGACGATACATACAAATGAATCCAGTATTAATTAGATACATTAAGTGAAGCCAGCTGTAACAAGATTAAAGTTTGATGTACAATTAAGAGGGAGTTGATGGACTGTTGGATCATAACTGTTGTTTATACAATAGACCATATTCCTTGTCATTATTACATCAACTTCTTACTACATTGGTCGGTTGGTTTGTTGTTTAACACCACACTCAGAAATATTCCAGCTATATAACAATGGTCTGTAAATAATCGAGTCTGGACCAGACAATCCAGTGATTAATATCATGAGCATCGATCCACGCAAATGGGATCTATCACATGCATCAACCAAGTCAGCGAGTCTGACCACCCGATCCCGTTTGTCGCCTCTTACGACAAGCATAGTCGCCTTTTACGGCAAGCATGGGTTGCTGTAGACCTAGTCTACCTCGGATCTTCACGGGTCCTTACTACGTATAAAGACTCTTATCTATGCCAGACATATACCAGTAGATACTGACACAAACAAGAAGATAAGAATGCAGAACATACTGATTTCAGATGAACACATATGGAGACACATACGCAGATACTGTCACACCACATGTACTCGTATAAAATAGCGCTTCACACATTTTACCAATGTGAGAAGTCAAATGTGGATCTCGGGTGCGACAAGCCAATGTCTCCTTAACCATGAGGCTGACCCAACACCCCTTTATGTATAAAGGAAGTCTGACTGATCATGCCTATTTCACTGAAACCCACATTAACAAACCAAGGGAGACAACTCTAATGGGAGAAACATGTTTTGTGGAGTTTCTGGCTGTTTCACTACAAAAGAGACCATATATTGGCATATGGTTTCTGACTACAACTATGAATATGGACTATGGCTGTGTTTGGAATAAAACATGTTTGTGAGTGAGCTGGTTGTAGCCTAGCCTGTCTTACAGACCCTGATACAAATATATATCAAATACAGCCCATGCAAGTCTATAATGTTTGGCAAGTCTAGATTACTGCAGTATCAGAAAATGAAGAGAGTCACTGGACTCCCTTTTATTATATTTTTATTAAGATAACTCAACAACTGTTTTTTCTGTACAATATGTTCATTTCAGAGACTAGATGTTAGTCTAGTTGTAGCCTAATTTTGGTTATATCATTTCATGGTGAGATATAATAATATGGTTTAGGGTAGGGCTGGCACGGGTAACACACATACTCGGGTTGGGTGGATCTTGAGTAGGACCCGGGTACCCACAGGACTACCTGTACCCATGGTTAGTCATGTGATATATTGTTTAATGACCAAAACTCACTGTAGCTCAGTGGTTACACTACATGTTGCTAATGCTCGCATTTCTTGAACACATTCCTTTGGACTTGTATATGTTTGAGTAAAGCTAAAGCTTCAGTGTATGCAAGAACTGATTGTTTGATATATGTATCTAAACATTTCTTGCCAGGGCTGCGGTAAAACAATTCTCAATCAGACATTTTGTTCCCACATCTTGAGACCTACAGTGGGTTGGTTGGTTGTTTTGTTGTTTAACGCTGCACTCAGCAATATTCCAGCTATATGACGGCGGTCTGTAAATAATCGAGTCTGGACCAGACAATCCAGTGATTAATATCATGAGCATCGATCCACTCAATTGGGACCGATGACATGTATCAACCAAGTCAGCAAGCCTGACCACCCGATCCCGTTAGTCGCCTTTTACGGCAAGCATGGGTTGCTGAAGACCTATTCTACCCCGGAATCTTCATGGGTCCCTACAGTGGGCACCCGGGTAGGGTCAGGTAATAGCGGTGTCGGGTACCCGGGTAGTAAATCTGGACTCGTCCCGGCCCTAGTTCAGGGACTGTGGGACAGACTACACCGGCCCCAGTGTGTGTTTGTTGACTGTTATGAACAGTTTATCCCTGCAGAACCTGATGTGTCACAATACCATTTGCTTGGAGTTGGTGTAAATCAAGCTTATGTTGATCAACTGACTAAACAATTTCAACACACTTGACCTTCAATGTACTTCAGTTCCTGTGCACTCCACACTGTCGTTGCAACAAAAGAATCGTAAAATTTGCTGCCAAAACTACAATGTGAATAGTTAAGCCTATGTCTTTTCCAAAATCAAGTGTTTTGAGGTTGTTATTGCTGTTGTTTGTTTGTTGTTTAACGCCACACTCAACAATATTCCAGCTATATGATGGTGGTCTGTAAATAATTAAGTCTGGACCAGACAATCCAGTGATTGACATCATGAGCATCCATCCACGCAATTAGGATACGATGACATGCACCAGCCAGTTTAGCAAGCCTGACCACCCAATCCTGTTAGTTGCCTCTTGTTACTGATGTACTTCCAACTGACCATGTGCAGCTGCAGTGCATCAACAGATTTATACGTCAGTATGTTTTAATGGACCAACAGGAAAGAGAGTTGCAGAAACAATTCATTTGATTTATATCCAGAATCAGCTATCAGTTTGATATTGCTTGAACACAACTAACATGAAAGAATTAGCATGATAAAACTTATAAGTTTATTTGTTTGTTCCCATTTTGTCTATAAAATGCATATGAATGTAAAGATATAAGACAATAAACTGTGACCTTAACCAGAGACCATATAACAGAATTTCTTCATTTTCAGACACTGCAGTAATCTAGACTTGCCAAACACTAAAGACTTGCATAGGCTGTTTTTGATATATTTGAATCAGGGTCCGTAAGACAGAGTAGGTCTCTGCCTTTAGAATTTATAGCTAGAAAGTTCACACAGACCTCCCAATACCCCCCTAGCAGAAACCCATAAAATAATTTAAATAATAAGGAATTTTATGGTCCTTGATCCTCGCAACACGTTTGGTGTTTGAATGAATTTATTCCATTCAGGAAATTTAGCAGTTATTCAAAGATTTGTGTGTCGAAAGCACATGTTTCATATCTGTAAGTTGACAACTGATGTTTCATAATTACAGATCACCAGTTTGTGAATCAGAAACAATGATTTCTCTGTATATGCAGGTAATATAACTCAACGTTATCACATAGACACAATATCTAGTGTCGTCTCAAACCTTGAATTCCTTCGCCGTTTCTGTCAGCCTTTTGTCTTCGAAATGAACAGGTACCTTCTCCAACCCTTCACAAAGATCGTACGGGTCAACAGCTAGCCATTCACTCATTGTTATCAAGTACAATCGCACCTCAATCACCTGATTGCGCCGACCGGCTGTTGATAACTGTTGTATTACCGGTCATGTGATTGGTCACGTGACTATGCTTTTGAACTTGCGGGACATACAAACGGCAACATGCTCGATCATTGATGAATGGGGAAGGACAGTATTTTGACTTGATTTGTTATTATTCTTGAGATTTGAGATACATTTATATTTGAAGTAAATCATGATACGATTGCATTTTCATAATGTAACTATGACTTGAACTTTGCTGTGCGATATGGGTGAAAGCGTTAGGAATCGTGCGTTGCTCGTAGAGTGAGCTGCGAAGAATACCGGTGCCGATGAAAGCGAGTTGTGGCAGGCGAGTGTCATATTTCAAAGACTAAATTTAACGCCGGCGGCTGACAAACCTAATTTCTTGCAGACTATAGTGGGAACTCGTTTAGTTAGCTTCTCTGACGGTGTATAATGTCTTAGACACTGTAATCAAACACAGTCAGCGTAAGAAAGAGTTGGAGGCAGGAGCTTCCCGTTTGGTCCTTATGCCGAACACTCTGGAATTATAACATTGGTCATACCGGCATATACCACACGTCTTTGACTGGACCAGTCCATTAATGGATTGTCCCATTTGCCGCCACCTGGGCCTCGTTGCAGCAGAGGAGGGGTGTGACTGATTTGTTCCACAATACGTCACATGCTGAGAAAACGTAGTCCGACCCTCGTTAACCGTGAGTAAAGCTGTATCTATACCACTTCACATCTTTGAAATTATCACACACGCAAGGCAAGGTGAAGATATGATACTCTTTGTTAAGGGAATATATGTGATAACTGTTCAAGATCTGATAAGCACTAAAGGTTTTCATTGTACAAAAGTTCTTCCTACCAACGTCATTACTGCTCAAAAGCAGATTTGTAAACATATTATTAATCTTATGTTTTTTTTGTTAATTTCAGGACATGGCATGGAATAGAATGTTTATCTGATATGAAAAGAAGAAAGTTTTTGTTCTAAAACACAGAATGGAGCCCCAATGCACATCGTTCCAAAACATTCCACTATGTGTGTTGCTGTTCCTTTCTCTTGTCAACATCGGCCGGGGAGATGCAAGCGTTGGTGTCCCAGACAAAGTGCCGCTTTATACCCAGGGAGCCCATATATCACACGGCTTACCAGATGTTCTTGTGTTTGTGGGAAGAATTTTTGAGTACTCATTGGCATCACATGAAATATTTGGACAAGATGGTGTCAAACTACAGGTAACATGTTTTGAAATAACATTTTGTATCTAGAACAATGCTAATTCTTTCAACAATATTGATTGATATAAGTGTATTTTTTAACATATACTACTAAAAAATGTTAAGGACCACCTGATTCTTTTATATTACTACAGTAAAAGTCCTTAACCTTTTTTGTGTAGTATATGTAAAAATCAAACTCTGCTGAGGAATGGACCAGCTAGTGTGGTTTGATTTTAATAGCTTGTACTTGTCATGGCACCTAAAACAATAACTGACAACATTAGGCGATGTTGCTATTTCAAACCTTTATGTATGTACTACATGTCCTGGCCGTGATATAACTGAAATCAGGGTAAAACCCAACTCTATATCTTATTGATTATTGATAAAGTAGGGGACATGGATCGCCCTGTGGCCTAGGGACCACCATATGCTGTGCAGAGTTGCATCCCTTAGCCATGCCAGGATCTGCTAGTATTTGATTCAAATCCTAGATTAACCTGATTGGAATCTTTGATAGGCATGATAGGTCAGCACTGTAATTGTGTTTGTTGATTTCTGAAAAATTGTAAATATCTAATACCTGGGTATTCCCACAAGTATCCCACTTCGACTGTCCTCCGATATTTTGTTACTTCCCAGGATATAATTGCAATATTGTCACAGCATATTTAAACTTACTCTCTTACTCTTTATAAGGGGAACCATTTACGTAGTGTTGATCAATCAATAATGATTTTTTTATCCTATTTTGTTTTGAAGAAATATTCAAAATAAAATACATGAACCATAACCTTTCATTGCAATGAATAACGGTCATACAATCACCGGATTGTCTAGTCCAAACACGATTATTTACTGACGGCTGTCTTACAGCTGGTATTTTGCTAAGTGCAGCACGAACTAACAACGAAAAAATAGTCACACACATTAGTAAGCAGTAAAACCAAGTGTTTGTACTGGCAGTACCAGAAAAATATGAAATCTCCAAATATGTAGTCCGTTCATGAAAAGGAACAACATTCATGATACGTCAGTTGTAAGATAAGGGGTTTTGTTATGACCAGGGAGTGAGGGGGTAGCCTAGTGGTTAAAGCGTTCGCTCGTCATGCCCAAGGCCTGGGTTTGATTCCTCACATGGGTACCATGTATGAAGTCCATTCCTGGTGTCCTTGTCGTAATCTTGCTTAAAACGGCGTAAAACAACACTCACTCACTGATATTACCAGATGACTTTCCCGATTGTTTTGGCAATTGTTATAACATGACAATATATAGAAAAGACCTGCTTAATCCTAGATGTACAGGGTAAATGTTTCATATTAATTGAATAATAATGTTGATCAATATATAACGATATATGTCAGACAAAAACAGCAGCTAGTACCACTAGAATGGAACCACATAGTGTTTCCGTGAATCACATTTTGAATTTCTTTTACAAAAAACAGGTTGGAACAGCCCATGAACATTTAAAGTAGCTCCCTAACAATACAATTGGTTACAGTTGAAATTCACCTCACTTAAATTTGAAAACATCGGAAGGTGGGTGTGCCAGCCCAGATGCCGCCAGTTTGTGCACGTTGCTGTTACTATTGTGTATAAACGGTCCCCCCAGCTGCTAACAGTAGCAATTTCCTTTTCATGCTTCAAGAGTCTTGACTCATCAGGCTGGCTTTCCGTTCTGTAGCGGCAGTGGTGCTATTTGTTGCCAGAGAACTTGTAAAATGGTTGGAGTTTGGGGAACAATGGGCCATTACACCGATAGACCTTTTCCTTCCATTGTCCAGGGGACCTGTGCCTGATACTAGTTAAGGGGACAAGGAATACTGTCCTCAAACTGTGTGACATGCTTCCAAGATGTGGGGGTACAACAGCTGCCCTACTGCAGCCTCACCCACACCTGGGTCTCTTCCTCACCCACACCTGGGTCTGTACCCCACCCACACCTGGGTCTCTTCCTCACCCACACCTGGGTCTGTACCCCACCCACACCTGGGTCTCTTCCTCACCCACACCAGGGTCTGTACCCCACCCACACCTGGGTCTCTTCCTCACCCACACATCAGTCTCTACCTCACCCACACCCAGGTCTCTCTTCCTCACCCACACCTCGGTCTCTTCCTCACTCAGATGATCGTAGGGTAAATGGTGCTGGCTTGAACAACATTTCATATGTTGAAATATAACTTCAAGTGGGTTTGACTGATACAGAACTCTCCAGCAGGTTTTGTTGCCGAGTATTGATTTGATCATGTTGGCGCAATGGTATTTTGTGTTTTCCTTTCTCTGAATTCAACATGTTCAAACCAGTTCCTGCCAATTGCAGGTATTATGATTGTGTTGAGGTAGCAAGAGATGTTCTTTTGGAATTTACAGAGAGGAAGAATGCAAAATAAATAATAATGAAAACATAAAATGTCGGGGTTAAAGAGGTTCTTGTATAAAACATTCTCCCAATAAGACAAACCCAAAAAGGTTATATGAAGCATATTTTCATTCAAACACATATTAATTTTTTTTTTTTTAAATGGTTATATTTAACATGTTTAAGGCAGATGTGTCCATGAAACAAAACTGTTAATCTTGTTAATTGTCCTATTCTTGGCATAGCTTGACAATTGCCATTAAAGTACACCAGCACACACATATGTAGGTTGTGAGAGGTTTTGAAGATCTTTTTTGGTCAATGAAGTCCGCACCAAAATTCATATCACACGACCACACAATACAAGCTGTTCATGAACCTGCCTTGATTGCTTTTGTGTAAGCAGAAGTTGTGCATGTGGTTTTTGACTGCTTCCATACCTAATGGTAAGCAACACATGGGCTGGAACATAAGCCAGAAATTTGATAATGTTGAGGCAAGGATTGGAAAGTTTTAGAGCACATATATGGCTTTCAGACTTATATACATATTAAGCTTATTAAGACCATGGGTGAAACAGGTTCATGAGCACTTAGAACATGTTGGTGGACAAAATGTATCGTATGTTTTTTCATTTAATGTTTCATACCATTGGTGCTTCAGAAATGAAATTGAAATCTTGAGAGCTATTTGTAGCATGTTTTCTGAGATTGAAATGGTGATCTTGACAGAAGTTGAAATTGAAACTCTTATCTTGCGAGCTATTTGTAGGATTTCCACATCATATTTTTGTTGTTAATGTAGCTGTATGTGTGAATGATTCATAATGAAAACAGTGCAGACTTGTGGGAGTTGTTATGTAACCATTGCATTAGTTGTGAGGCTGTTAGGTCTGTAAGGTGTGTAACAAGATACTGCATGTAATCACGGACATCAGTGTAGAGGAAACCAATCCTTTAGAAGGGATGACAGATTCTCTGTTAGACTAACGCTTAGTCTCTGAAAATTTTGATAGAAACATATATATTGAAAAGGAGCCCGAGGGAGATGGGAGATTCAGAACCACAGATTTCCTGAGCCATAGGAAAATCTAGACTTGCTTCATTTAGGTTTTGCGTTACTGAAAGGGAAAATAATATGGTTTAGGGACTGTGAAACAGACTAGCTCTCTATTCCAAGTGACGGATAGGGGGTAATGATTCCCAAAATGTTTATTGAGTGCTGATACTTTGTGATAAGATTTCAGTATTTCAATTGTTAGGTTAAGTCTCTTGAAGACACTGGAGCATATATTTGATAAAACAATCACAACCATTGCACTCTCATCTTCTTCTCTTCTCTATCTGACTCTACTCATCCCATGCTCAGGTCCAGCTTAGGTTACCTAAGCTTGTTTAGAGAATTTTCTTTACTTTATTTTGGGGACCATATGTTAGTATAAAGAGTGAGTGAGTATGGTTTTACGCCGCTTTTAGCAATATTCCAGCAATATCACGGCGGGGGACACCAGAAATGGGCTTCACACATGTTAGTATAAAGAGAGACCATATATCGGTGTATGGGCTCTGGTCTAAGTGTGATCATGCTTACATTCATAAGGCCATAATAAGTTAACTAATTGATTTTTATCGCCAACAGCCTCACTACAACCATCCACATCACATCATTTTATTCTGCCCTTCAGACAAATAAGATCACTGTGTGTGTTCCTTGTGTCTCTTCTTGATGAAATACACCATATCTGCAATCCTACCAGTTGTACATTCATGCTTTATGTGAATCAAATTTGTCAACATTTAGTGTCCACAGATGCATTAAACAGTTGGTTTTTAAAGATCGACATAAAAAATAAACTGCCTCCCAACGATTTCCTAACAATACAAGAATTGTTTAAGGGTGAAATGTGAAATGAATAAAGTACAAGAGTCATCAAGCCACTTTATTGTGAGCTTCTTAACATGTTGGAACTTCAATCCCTTGTATCAGTGGATGGAAATAAAAAGACATTTCACTTGTCTTAATTTGACTAGTAAACTGCCAAAATCTATTTGCCAAAAGGCTATTTGTCCATAATTTTATGGTTCTGATATGTTTTGGTTTGAGCGGGGATTCAAAGTTAGATTTGGTCTCTTTATCTAGTAATGTCTGCTTGTTGTAAGAGTTGACAAAAGTGTATGTGGGGATCCGGCTCAGTGGCTTGACTGATTGTGTGTCATCGTCCCCCGAATGTGTGGATTGATGCTCATTCCTGTTCCAGACTCGATTATTTAGAGACTGTCATGAGATAGCTGGAATATTCATGAATGTGATGTTAAACAATATTGACTCACTGTATGTCACTGGACCCAGTATGTGTGCTCTGCTGCAAGACAAGCGGAACCTGATGGACTGCCATGTATTATACGTCCATGCAAGGAGATGGAGAAAGTATCTGTACCGTGATATTAGCTGTGAGCACCATAGATAAGTACTGAATGAGCCGAGATTTAGGAGGGATGAGATTTAGGTTCTGTCCGTGACTTGATACTAATGCAGAACACATGGTGTTGGGACATGAGATAATGGCCGACTAACAGCAGACACAGAACCAGAGTAGGGGAATTAAACATTGTTTTTATTGCTGCTTTTGTTTGTATATTTTAAAAAA